GATTGGGCCAACCACTAAATATAGAGCATTTAGTACGTTAGAAATCTCCTCATTCACTTATGTTCTTTGTACCAGAATCAATTTCGTATGTTTCTCTTAGAGGGTTTATCTATACTACCATAAATCATTAACCAATTCAATTCTAGTATGATCCCATTTTTCATGGCAATTGAATGACATACTCTTTTTGTCTTTTGTTACTCCTTTAACAAGCATCAAGCTTGGCCTGTCTTTTAGTTTCCCTTCTTTCACCAAGTTCCCCATATGTTCATCTGCTGACAGAACATTGAACCCCCCCTCCCCTGCGGGTTTGATGTGCTTGTTGCCTGCTGCTAAAGTTAGCTGAGACAGACTTGTATCTCTCTCTCTTTCTCCCTCCATTATACTTTGGAAGAAGTGTATTTGGTCTATGCTCAACAATATCATTGCTATTATATTGGATAACTTTGACATACATTATTAAGTCGCGACATAATTAAGCTTGGTCAGGAACAATGATGGGGAAGATAAACAAGCAAATGGAAAGCTTGGGGAATTATCAGGAGGACCCATAAACTTGGCAATGATAAACAAGTCCTCCTACAGGGGCACATACAGGTCCCTACATATAATATAATGTTTTGGGCATCTCTCAAATGGATTGAAAATTAACTTTATTACCTGTGCTTAAAGGATTGAAACATGAAATTTCAAATTCTTTCATGTTCATACTGTAATTTTATTCGGTTTTGAGTATGATTATGAATGTTTGAGCACTCGGATGTTTCTTCAAAGTAAGTAGAACCTTTGAATTGTAGATGTTACAGTTAACTTTTAGATTTGATCAAAGGGAAGAAACCATTGAAATGAGATAAAAACTTGAAATATTAACAAGTTGGGGATGAGAGAATTCCAAGCCCTGGTTGGGACGTCATGGAAATGGAGGTAATCTGTCATCATAAAAAATAGTAAAGACAGATCTTCTTCATTTGGCTGAGTTCCTTAAGCTGATTGCTGTGATAATCATTTGCTTGTTACCTATTCTTCAGTTGTTCATGGCAGCATTATAGTTGCTAGTAGCAGAATAAATTTTGCAAAATTCGTCGGCCGTCTTAACGGGTTCGGTACCTTTTTTTTTTCCCGAAAAAGGCCGGGAAAAAAAACCAACATTTCTTTATGTATTATACTCAAAATTCCTTAAAAAAACTGAAAAACTTGGGATTGAGAATGTGCCCCCCTTAAAAATACAAAGGTGGGATTTGGGAACTCCTAACAAGGCCGGAGAACTTCCCGACGTTTCAAATAAAAAAAAAAAAATTGGTATAAAGAGAAGGAAAAATATATCGTACCGAAATAAATTATGGCCCCGATGAGATAAAATTTGGACTTAAAAAGGTTCTAATAACTTGGATCTTTCTTGAAATTTATGATTAATCCTACATTTTTTTGTATCAATCATAAATCGATTACACTAAATTGTAATTTGACTTGTTTAAATCAGAACTAAATTTGATAAGATCGTAACTCTTCTAAAATTTCAGTTTTTACAACAACTACATCCTTTTGTTAATGAGGACTTAAAAAAAATAATGAAGCTAAAACCCGAAAATGTATATTTAGAAAGTTCTTTTACCGACCACGATGGTTAAAAAAAAAACCCAAAAAACAATTATTTTCAAAATGCCATGTGCTGACTTATGGTTCAGGTAAGAAAAATGGCATGCCACCTTCTTGCAATGAGACAGCCCACCAGGATCGAGTTAAAGGAACATAACTACCAAGATCTCCAATTCCGGAAGGAAGTATGACATCTTAATCAAAAGATTTTCAAGAAATTCTCTCTCTCTCTCTCTCTCTCTCTAGTTCTCATTACTCAGAATGCAATTAAGTTTTCTCACTTTTAAATCTAACATAAATTCAAACAGGATTCACTATGTATGTCGAACTTGATGATGAAGGTAAAATAGTATTGGATGGATTGAATCCCAAATTTTAGCATGTAAATTGTAAAGTCCCCTGTAATCCTTGTTTTCGGGCAAACCATGTACAGAGTGAAATGAACAGGTAAATGTCACCACAATCAATAGACAGGTTGAGATTACTAGATGGGTGAAAGTTTCGATATGTTAATGGTGCAGGAGTTTATGTGCCCAAAAAAAAAAATGGGTAACATATCGTTTTTTATAAATTTTGTGGGTTTTTTTTTTCATAATTTTTTGTTGTTATTTTACAACGTTTATGATAACTTGCGATCGACTTTAATAATGTTAGAATCGATGACAACCTTTTAATTCAAACGTTAAAAATTATTGCTTGACCTAAAATATTGTTGTTAATAAATCACAAAACTCGTATTAAAATTCAAAAAAATTGTAAAATTTAAAAATACGGTACCAAAATTTCCTTGTCGATGGTGTAGTCTAGTCCGTTAATGTATCTCATGGAGTGGCAAGATTGAACCTTTTCTGTTCTCTTGGCCATGAAAGGCGGTGCAAGATTCCTGATTGTTTCCCTAGGAATTACTGAAGTGATGTGTGAATGGGTATTTTTCAGTTGTTTAAGTCTTGTCAAATTTGACCCATTTTTATCCGATTCATTTATCATAGTGTAGAGTTGGGTTAGTATCATATATAAACTGTGTTTAATAATATTTGGTAGATTTCATTCGACTCGTAGAATTTAACTGGTTCATTTATTTATCATCCAAGTCCGTTAAAGCTGGACACCCCCGTAGCAAAAAAAAAAAAGTAACCCGCTAAGGCTAAATCCAATTCTCGATAATTTCGTTTCAGTTTTGTGTCATGCTGACACATGGTGTGTAAAATTGCCAAAGTTGGGTCCTGGTGACAGCAACACACACAGCAAATGCTGGTTGGACCAAATATCATGGTGGGCACCGGGCACCTCTCTCTCTATACCCCCCCCCCCCCCCAGACATGCATCTACATATTGATTGTCCTCTCTGTATTTATATCTTAAGTTATTTGTTCTCGACATTTTGATGATTGCATTAACTGGGCTAAGTGGAGTTTACCCTCGTTAGGCTTGACATAAAAGTAGTTTAACTTTTGCCTATCTTAGCTGTTTGATTATTATTAGCACTAAAAATTGGATTTATGAGTCTAATTCCAGCTGTCGTTTGTTTCTATTAATGATTATATCCCTTTCTTCTCTGTAATATGCAATGTAATTGTATCTTACTCAGATTCTGTAGTTAATTTCTGTATTTCTTACTCGAGGAGTAGATATTGTAGATTCAACTATCTTAATGTAGTGCTTAAACAATGCAAGGACGTTCTTGTAAAGTAAAGTAGGCCTTGATGTAGCGGTAAAATTATTCTATTGTGATTTGGGTATTACCGGCTTAAGTGACAAAAGTGGTCATTCAAGAGTAATGGTGCGTTCATCTGATCCTCTATGAAACTTGCAGTAATGAGAGTCTAGTGCACGAGGTTGTCCTTTAAAAACGTTTTTACAAAGTGTTGTTCCTCAAGACAAATCATGCTCAAATCACTATGACTAGCTAAATATTCTTTTGCTATCAACAACATTGTAATAATGACATCTAAAAAGATGGGGTGACAATCTTAGTTTCAACTGTTACAAATCTCACAAGATCTGTGCAAATTCTCATGAAAATGATCGGATGAGGGTGAGAGGTCAAGGAATGATATAGTGCTAACTGATATGATAGGGTAGAGTGCAAGGTTGGAGACTCAACGAGAAACATTAAAAAAAACTAATTGTTCGGAGGTTGACATAGAAAGCCTACCCTACATGGACTCTTTTTTCAACGAGGTCTCACCATTAATAAAGTTACTTAAGTTACCTTCCAAGAACGAAACAAGTCCTATTATAAGTTTAGAAACAACCCTCTCCCTCTTGTAATTTGTACTTGACTCTAATTTTTTTTTTTCACCAGCTACCACCCCCACTCAACAATAAGTTTATCTCCCCAATAAAACCATTCTCTATAAAGTCTTACTCATTTCAACTTCCTCTGCATTATCATCCACCCCCACCTTTTCTCTCTGAATTCCTCTTGGCCACAGGTCAGTCCTCCCATGATGCCATTCTCATTGCATTTCCTATGTGTTATAACTTGATGTTTTTAGATTCTGCATTAAAATTTCGATGGCTTATGGCTTCTTAATCTTTTATCAATGAGCTTTTTTTTATTTTTTGTTTTCCATGTGTTTTTTGTTGCTTCTTAGTGAATTGATCCAGATCTGTTTCTTTGTTCTAGTTGATGTAAATACATCCTGTGTTTGTAACTTTTTAATGCTCTTACTCTGAGTTCAGTAAGGGTTATAGTGATGTACTGCCATTATTGGGCCATAAATTGCTCAACCAAGATGGGATTTTTGTGTAATTTTTCTTGTTTCATTTTGATTTTGAGAATAATTATCAAATTGGGTACAGTGTATAAGTTCTTAAAACCAGGAATTATATACATTTTGATCTTGTCATAGCAAGCATTCTTTCATGGACTCCACATTTCACTGTCTATCATCCCATCTCCTCTTTCACATTTTGATGGACTCAGATACACTTCTATTTTACTAGTTTCTGTCTCTTGTTGGCTGAAGTTCTTAGTTTGAATGAGTTGATGAAGATAATAATTCTTAGCTCATTGGGTTTTGGGCAAATCAGAAATTCAGTGTGTACCTGGTTTCTAGAAAGAGGTTACAGATCTAGAACAAAATTTGAAGTTTTTCTACTCACATTGTAGTTTGGTTCGATTTTCGTGAATTGGGCTAGTGTTGACAGGTTGGGATCTAACTAATCAAATTGTTTTTCATTTAGATTTGGAACTGGGGACTCAATTTAGAGCCTAATTCTAACAAATTTTTATTCATTTGCTAATCTTGATTTGGTCACCTCTTCTCACTCATGGGTAATGAACCTTGCAGGAATTTGGAGAGTCTGCTTCAGTAAATAGAGCAACATAAACTTAATCAAAGTGAAAATGGACTACACCATGATTTTTATAATAGTGCTTCTTTCTTCTACATCAGCATATGCTCAAACTGCTGTATCTCCATCTCTAAGCCCGACTCCTGCGCCAGCCCCGGCTCCAGATTTCGTAAACCTCACAGATTTACTTACTGTGGCTGGTCCATTCGACACCTTCCTTAACTACCTTGAGTCCACCAAAGTCTTACAAACTTTCCAAAACCAGGCCAACAACACTGAAGAAGGAATCACCATCTTTGTACCAAAAGATGGAGCCTTCTCATCTCTCAAAAAGCCCTCTCTCTCCAACCTCACTAGCGACCAGCTTAAATCGCTCTTCCTTTTCCATGCCTTGCCACATTACTACACTCTAGCAGACTTCAAGAACCTGAGCCAAATGAGCCCTGTTAGCACATTTGCTGGTGGATCATATACTTTGAATTTTACAGATGTGTTTGGGACTATCCACCTCGGTACAGGATGGACTAACACAAAAGTGAGTAGTAGTGTGCATTCGACTGATCCAGTTGCAGTTTATCAGATTGACAAGGTTCTTCTTCCGGAAGCAATCTTTGGCACCGATATACCTCCAACCCCTGCTCCAGTACCAGCTCCTGATATTGCCCCAGCTGCAGATACTGTATTGGAGAAAGGTGGAAGCGGGTCATCTCCAACATCTTCGCATCCATCAACTTCTTGTAGGATTGTCGGCTTCGGTATTTTGAATCACCTAATTTTGGCAATCTCAGGTGGACTGTTCTTGTTCTTGTAAGAGAGGATTTGTTGAGCATTTAATTTATATTGAGATGGTACATCGATTCATATTACTTTGATTTTAAGCCATTTTTTCATCACATTTGTTGGTGATAGTGTGTATGAGAATCTGAGTTATTCGACTATAGTATCTGTTCCAATTTTAATGCCTTTGTCCCTTTTATATCTTTGGTTTTGTAATGATTTTACTTTATGTTCTTGAACACCTTGTCCTTGTGTTTGGAAATCTGACAACTTCAACCTTACTGTGGTTTTAAGGCATGTTCTAGTTTTGGTCTCCCTTGATGCTAATTGAGGCACATAAATCTTTGTTATGCACAAGATCATAAACAAACAACTGAAACAGGAAAACACAGGACACATCAAATTACATGGTTTTGGCTCAACTCCATGGGCAAAAAATTTACTTTATATAGAGATTACAAAGAGTTCTCTAAAACAAGTAAGAGAATAAGTCACCAAATCTGCCACAGATTCACGATACTTGCAGTACTCATCTCCAAAGAGGCCTTTGTTTCTGATCTGGCCAGCCCTCCGTTCCACTGAAGCTTAGAAAGTTTCCTAGTAAGAATCCTATGGGTTTTATGTGAATACAAATAGGAGCAGAGATGAATTCACTTAAACCAGTACGGAACTATAAATTGGAAGCAGTCCTTGAAGATGAATTCACTTAAGCCGATGATTGCAAACATCTCACTAACTCGGCACTTCCGTGTGTTCCAAATTGCAATGTGTTGGAGTAAAATTAAATCTATGGGCTTATATATTAAATAAATGTGAATTATAGGCTATCAAATAAAGTTAGACTAATAAAAGTGATTAATTTAAGTTTTGGGGCTTTAATTAATATATTATAAAGTGTAGGCATTAATGTGTAGAGACAAACGTAATTTTTATTTTTATGATGAGTTAAAATAGAAATTACGAACAGACGTAATTGCTTATCAACAAACACGATTGTTTATAAATAGAAGTCATGGTCCCCAGATTACACAACGATTTTTCTATTCTTCTGATTCTCATTGTTAAATAGAAATTTATATAGAAAATAAGTGTAGATCTGGAAGATCATAAAACCTTAGACTCAGACTCAGATATTTCAATATTTTGTTATGGATTCAAGTACGCTTCTGCAAATACAATATTTTAATTCTTGATGACTCAATATGAATATTCTTGTTTGTGTGATGGTTTTCACATAATGAAGTTATTCTTACAAGTGATATCAGAGTATTCTTAAGAATAAGTTAGGAAAATTTTTTTTTTTTTGGGCCGAAAATATTTTTCAAAAAAATTTAATATTTCTGGAAATATTTTACAACAGAAAAATTCTACATCTCATTACGATTCCAACGATATAAATTTCATAATTTTTGGACATACGATTGATTTTATACCTTTTTTTTTTTAAAGTTAAAGAGGAAATGTAGAATCAATCACTGTTCTGTGCTTTTGGTTCCGGATCTGTGAGGAAGAAACCTAAAGGATGTTGTTTCGTTTGCATTCATACTTAGACGTATATTTTTTAAATTTATTTAGACACATCTACTTACAAATGGTGTGTTGGTTCAGCGGCAATTTTTGGCATAGGATTGCATCCACTGGGATGTGAGGTTCGTGGTTTGAATCCTAGTCAAGTGTTTTGTTTCTACTGGTTTTGTTTAAAAAAAGGGACCAGAGATTCCATCTCTGGACTTGCAACAAACCACCAATAAGGCAAGGCAAACTTACAGATTAAAAGTTGGTTATTTTAATATAAATATGTTGAAGTTAAAGTGCATTTACACAAATTTACATTCAAATATAGGTGTTTAAATATATATTTTTAGATATATTAATTGAAAATAATATGTCACCAAAGTGATTTCTTTTGTGAATATTAATCGGCCCAAAGGAAGATTAATATTTTAATAGAATTGTATGCACACCTGTAATAATAAACGTGTGATGATTATTTGATTTTATATATGAATAATAAATAGGCCCAAAGAAATATTTATTATTCGATATGTTCTTATTACGAGTGTTTGATTACTACACCAAGATATTACTTACAAATTAATATTTTTTTATTCAAAGATAAAATATTAATAGAGTGTCAAGTATCTTGAGATGAGATTTGCCTTTATTTGAATTTATTTTTTGTTTTGAGGCTTATGTGAGATTGTTTTACTTGTTTATTGTTCTCTGATTCAGCTATTAGTTCTGCTTTTAACATTAATGCCAGCATTAATTATGTTTCTATTCTAAATGGCACAAACTTCAAGACATGGCATGAGAACCTTCAAATAGTCTTTGGTGTCATGGATCTTGCGTTAAGGGTTCCCTCTCCTGCACTTTTTACCGATGAAAGTTCCTCCGATGAAAAGAGGGATAATGAAAGGTGAGAGAAGTCAAATCGCATGTGTTTAATGATCATTAAGAAGACCATTCCAGAAGCATTCAGGGCACAATATCCAAAACGATAAAGATAGCCAAAGAGTTCCTAGAAGAAATTAAGAATAGATTTGCCAAGAATGAAAAGTCTGAAACAAGTACACTTTTGACAAATCTCATCTCAATGCGATATAAAGGTAATGAGAACATTAAGGAGTACATTATGGAAATGTCTCATCTCGCTTCAAAGTTATGAACACATAAACTTGATCTCTCTGAGGATTTGCTTGTGCATTTGGTTCTGATATCTCTTCCCACACAATTCAATCAATTTAAGGTAAGCTATAACTGCCAAAAGAGACTTGGTCTCTTAATGAGCTCATCTCACATTGCGTGCAAGAATAGGAAAGGCTGAAGCAAGAAAAGATAGAAAGTGCTCATTTGGCTGGTACTTCCAAGGATAAAAGGAAGAAAAGAAAGAAGGATAAAAAAGCTGCAGAGGTTCCATATCCAAAGAAACAACATAAAGAAAAGAATGTTGATAGTTGTTTCTTCTGTGGAGCTGCGGGACATAAGAAAAAGCAATGTATCAACTATCATGCTTGGCATGCAAAGAAATGTACACTTCTTAATGTAGTTTATTCTGAGGTTAATTTGACTTTGGTACCTAAACACACTTGGTGGATAGATTCTGGTGCAACCACTCACATTAGTGTCTCCATGCAGGGCTGCCTGAGTTGCCAAAAGTCAAATGATAGTGAAAGATACATCTTTGTAGGCAATAGCAAGAAGGTCGAAGTTGAGGCAATTGAGATATTTAAGTTATTATTAAAGTCTGATACTTATTTGGATTTAAATAAGACGTTTGTTGTACCGTCCTTTAGACGGAATTTGGTTTATATTTCTGTATTGAACAAATTTGGTTATTCTTGTTATTTTGGAAATAATAAATTTAGTCTTTTTCAAAATTCAAATTTGGTTGGTATTGGTTCTTTATCTTATGTAGATAACCTTTATATGCTTGATACAGTTGCTTCATATCATGAAACCTTGCAATTAAGTACTCGAGATGTTAAAAGAAAATTAACCAATGAGAATTCCCCATCATTATGACATAAGAGATTAGGTCACATTTCCAAAAAGAGAATTGAAAGACTTGTGTCAAATGGGATTCTAGATTCCCTTGATTTTGTAGATTTTGAAATTTGCACAAATTGCATAAAGGAAAAACAAACAAACATAAGGAGATTTGGTGCCAACTGGGCTATAGATGTCTTAGAACTGATACATACAGATATTTGTGAGTCATTTCCTACGGTTTCATGGAATGGCTAACAATATTTTATCACGTTCATAGACGATTTTTCACGTTATGACTACCTTTATCTCATTCATGAAAAGTCCTAATCACTGGAAGTGTTCAAATCGTTCAAAGTTGAAGTTGAAAATCAACTCAACAAAAGGATTAAAAACGTCAGATCTGACTGTGGTGGTAAATACTATGGTAAGTATGGCGGTTCAGGTGCACAACGTCCGGGACCATTTGCTAAATTCCTAGAGGAGTGCGGTATCGTCTCACAATACACCATGCCAGGTTCTCCAAGCATGAATGATGTTACTGAAAGGCGAAACAGAATGCTCAAAGACATGGTAAGGAGTATGATTTAGTCATTCTAACTTGCCAAAATCACTTTGGGGTGAAACATTAAAGACTGCAGCGTATATCCTTAACAGAGTACCAACTAAAGCAACTACTAAAACTCCTTATGAACTTTGGACAGGCAAGAAGTCTAGTCTGAAGCACTTACACATTTGGAGATGTCCAGCTGAAGCAAGGCCTTACAGGCCACATGAAAAGAAATTAGATTCAAGAACGGTTAGTTTCTATTTTATTGGATACTCTGAAAGATCCAGGGGTTATAAACTCTATGATCCTACTACTAGATCAATTTTTGAGACGGGAAATGCCCGATTCTTTGAGGATGTTGAGTTTGATGAGGGAGATAAGGACAGAGATTTTGTTTTTGAAGAAAGGAATATGTTGATATTCTCATAGCTATTATTGACATTGATCAGGCTCCTATACCTGATATTGTTCAAGAAACAGATCCAAATCAAAACAATATCCAAGAACCTCCCATTTCAGAAGAACAAACTCTACCTCCTCCAGAACCTACGCTATTAAGGAGATCCACTACAAAAAGGAGAAGTGCAGTTCCAGATGATTATATTGTATTTCTCCAAGAACATGAGTTTGACATTGGTATGATGGAAGATGATCCAATCAACTTCTGTCAAGCCCTGGAAAGTTCTAAATCTCAAGAGTGGATTGATGCCATGAATGAGGAGATAAAGTCCATAAAGGACAATGACGTTTGGGATCTTGTCTCATTGCCTGAAGGTGTGAAACTCATTGATTGCAAATGGATATTTAAAACCAAGAGGGATTCGAAAGGTGATGTGGAGAGATACGCTCGTCTTGTCTCTAAAGGCTTTACACAAAAAGAAGGCATCGATTATAAAGAGACTTTCTCTCCAGTTTCATCGAAAGACTCTTTTAGGACAATAATGGCACTTGTGGTGCACTTTGACCTTGAGCTTCATCAGATAGATGTTAATACTGCATTTCTCAATGGTGACATTGATGAAACAATCTATATGGTGCAACCAGAAAATTTTGTGTCGGGAGATGCAAAGAAGATGATTTGCAAGTTAAAGAAATCCATCTATGGGCTTAAGCAAGCTTCTCGTCAATGGTATTACAAGTTTGATCAAGTTAGTTTTAAGATGAATATGGTTGATGATTGTCTATACCATCATTTCAGTGGGAGTAAGCATATTTACTTGGTTTTATATGTTGATGACATATTGCTTGCCACCAACGATATAAGCATGTTGCATGAAACCAAGAGATTTCCATCAAAGAAATTTGAGATGAAAGATATTGGTGATGTTTTTTTTGTGTTGGGTATACAGATACACCGAGATTGCTTTCGAGATACACTTGGTTTATCACAAAAGAGCTATATCGAAATTTTTTTTAAAAAGTTTGGCATGCATGATTGCAAATCAGGTAACACCCCCTGTGGCTAAGGGAGACAAATTTAGTCTCAGTCAATGCCCCAAGAATAATTTTGAGATTCAGGAGATGCAAAAGATTTCTTATGCAT